CTAAAGATCAAACATTTGATCGCCAAACATTCAACCATATGTTTGTCTTCCTTTTTTCAGGGTATTTATGAACCAGGAAAAAGGCATTGGCTCAAGGTAAGTGAGGCCAAAAGACATAGATTTAAAATTTGTTGTAGCTGCGGTTCTTATAGGATATATTTTCTTTTACAATAGTATTCGTTTTTTACATACCTAAACAGCATTACTTATCAGTTAAGCTACATGTATCTCAGTTCCAATGCGTATGAAGTGGTATCATTCATAGCAGTTCTTATCAAAATGGAAAGCTAATAACGAAGCTTCACTGTGAGTAGCGAAGCTGGCGGTAACCTTCTATGCACTAGCATCTCGCCCAGAAGGAATTGTAATACTCCTGGTTGCTTCATTTTGCAGAATTTGTACTTATTTCCTGAGTGAAAGGGCCTGATGGAAACGTATTAGACTTAAGGTCGTGACTATTTTTTTTTTCTGTCTGATGTTTGTTTACAAGATGAAAAGGGATTATCTCGAGGAAGGTGCTATGGCAGATACTGCTGACCTGGTTGTACTAGGGGCCTACTATGGAACAGGCAACAAAGGTGGATTGATGTCGATCTTTCTTATGGGTGTCTGGGATCCAGCCACAAAGCAATGGTGTACTGTGGCTAGGTGTGGCAATGGTCATGATGATAAAACCTTAGAGCGGCTTAATAGGGAACTGAAAATGAAGAAAATCAGCAAGGTTTGTGACGTGGAACAACAGATACCTCAGTAACTTATAGGGTACCAAAACATTAGGACTATGCCGAGATCCCTTATACAAAAGATTATGGTCGAAATCTTTAAGTGTTCACTCTCTTCCCGTTTTTTTTTTTGCTTGTTAAGTATTTTCATTTTTTTTCTTTTTTTGGTTTTTGTTTTTGATCTTGTTTTTTCTTTATTTGTTTTGATATTAGCAGTTACGGAAATCTTAAACAGTTATGTGAATTAATAAGGTGATGTGATTTGATGCAGGACCCTTCTAAAGTTCCTCTATGGTTGAACATACACCGAACTTTAGTTCCTGACTTTGTCGTCGAAGATCCAAAGGTAAAGTTTTATTCTTTAACTGTGTAAGAATGATTTTTGCTATAGTTATATATAATGCCATTCTCACCTCATTTACTCAACAAGTTAAGCACACAATTGATGTGTCTGTTTTCTTCAGAAATCCCCAGTGTGGGAGATAACTGGGGCAGAATTCAGCAAATCAACGACGCATACTGCTGATGGTATATCGATCAGATTTCCACGAGTAACGCGGATCAGAGACGACAAGGATTGGCAAACTGCAAACGATCTACCTCATCTGAAGGTATCTGAAGATTTGTTTGTTTGTTCGATCTTTGTGTTTTTGTTGTTGCCCTTTGATTTCAAGGTCTCACTTGGAGTCATTGTCTCCGGCAGGTTTTGTTCAAGAACTCGAGAGCTTCAACCAGTAAGTAATAAAATAGTGGTCCTTAAGCAATTATTTTCAAGACAGTGTCTCTTTTGAAGTGCATTTCAATTTTAGAATAAAGAAGTTTGCGTTTATTTCTTTGTTTGTATATATGTCATCTCTGTATGGTTGTTGTTGGTGTAAGTTTTTTTAAGGGAAAAGAAAGACATCGTTACTCTCTCACACAGTGATAATTTTTACCTATCTTTTACAGATGTGGCTGACCTTGTGGACAATGACGATGATGATAATGCTGATGATGATGATGATGCAACTGACGATGATCACGATCCTCCAACTAAGGACAAGGAGATGAAAAACGAAAGCCCTTCCAAGGAATCAAACGAGACTGAAAAAATAACAAGGAAGAGAAAAACACTTGACTATCAAGAAAATAGTTCTCCTGGTAAACGGGTTAGTGTGCGCATGTGTCTATCGTTAAGACGCGGTTCAGAAAATTTCATTCTTAGGACTTAACTTTGAAGAAGGGCTTACAACATTTCTGTTTGTTTGTGTTTCCGTTATGAAATTTTTGCGCACAACTCTTAGCCATCTAGAGACCTTACTATAACTTTTTCATCACCGTAGAGACTTCAGGTCATGTAAGAGAATGAAAATTGATGATGTTCGTAGCAATTTTGTGGTGGAATTTGCAGATTCTTCACTTTTGAATTTGATGGTTTGGGTTGCGATTCCTAATAAGGACCTTTTTCGTATCCTCCTTAGGCCAAGTCAGCCTGTAAGTACGGATCGAAATGTTATCAGAAGAGTGAAGATCATTTGCAGAAATTCAGCCATCCGCAGGTTTGTAAACAAAAAATTTTAGCGTAGAAATTCGTCGTTGAACCACACCTTCGTTTTTGAGGATGAGTGTGAAAACCTGATGATATCTCCCACCTCCTCAAGGTCACTGAGTGAGTATTCAACAAAAAACCAAAAGGGAGAAAAGTTCTTTGCTGAGAGATCCAAGGCAGGTCAAAGGGAATTTTTTTTATCGCTGATATTTCTCTCATCTGCTGTTTACCCTTTTCTGTTGTGCAGAATGACAATGGCGATGAATCTAGTCCAAGCAAGAATAAGGTACCTTGAACAATTTGTGGGTTTTTTTTGCTCCTAAGGTTTTGCCAGAACGATCGTAAGAAGTCGCGGTCAGTGACTTAGGGTCCCCCAGCTTAGTAAATTTTTCACTCCTTCAGACGAAAGTCCAGCTGTGATGAAAATCTACATTTTTTTTTCTTCAGAAAGAGACTATTGTGTTGTTTAGTAAAGTTGAGTGGCCTTATTTCATGCTTCATTTATTGTTGGACTTGCTTCCTTCATCACCACACTAAAAATAGTTCTTCTGACACTCGTTGTCTTTTTTCTTTCATTTTGCAGTTTTTGGTCCTAATTTTTTCCTGATTTGTAGTTGTTTTATTTTTCTAGACTCTGAAAGATATCTTTCAAGGGCTGACCATATTTCTCGCAAACGATCTTGAAGATTCTGCGAAACTCAGAAGATACATCATTGCGTATCCTTTAATGCCTTCGAACAGCGAAAATGTTAAACAAACCACTGTCTTTAATTACACGTTTAAACAGTCAAATAAACAAAGCCATGTCAAGCTATGATATTCGGTTTCTCCCGTGGCGTTCCAAAGCTAATAGCATCACGTACTAGCTAAGTTAACTCATTTCCTGATTACGCTGTTAGATATTTTCGTGATTTTGTTGTATATGGTTGAATCCCCTTAATTAAGTGATACATTGTAGTTACGACGGAGATGTAGTCGATGAGTTCGAAAAGACGACTGCAAGCCATATTGTGAGCAACACTAAGGTGAGTGTGCTTTCCAAAATTCACACTATTCAATACATGCAAATACTCGTATGTCACTGTATCCCTTTACGTTAAAATTGAAATTTCACACTGAACACTTCACGATAATATTCCAATTTCTTACTTTACACTTCACGTAAAAATAGCCTACGTGTAGCCGTACCCTCTCCCCTAAGGTGAAACGGACGATTATTCTTGTCATAATCTCGGCTTATTTCCATGCTTCATGCAGTATTTGTCGCACAATGTTTTTGTCTCAAAAACAAACCAATATGAATTTCATTCTCAGCATTGGTACTCACATCTTAAATGGCACAGACACTATCAACCGAGATGTTCAGCAGCATGAAGAAATTTTTTTCTGTAACTCCAGTTGTAGTCATCAGAAAACAGTTTAGACAGACTAGACAGACACTTAAACAGACTAGAGCAATTAGCGTATAGAATTGGAAAACAGATGGTGAAAATTTAAGATGGAATTGAAAATAGGACGCTGTTGGACTTACTGTGGTTCCTTTTTATGGTTTATTCTTCAGGGTGGTCATACGATGGATCGACCAGTCAAACTGATTTCACCATCCTGGATTTGGAAATGCATCAAGAAGGGACACCTTGTGCCTGAAAATAAATTTGCACTCTAAATTGTAAGATATTTAAGTGAAATGTGTATTTATACAACGTGCTGTGCAACCACAAGGCCTATGTGTGTTATTCAATGGTCTCCTCATCTCGAATGTCAAAGTGTAAATACTTTATCGCAAAATGCTATGTAATGCAAGAAGTTTTTAGGTCGTTATGTAAATGCACAAAAGGCACATTGCGCAGGACTGTTTGGTGACAGTCATCAAGTACGAGAGGAAATGCGTAGTAAAGTTCTCTGCTGATATGTCAAAGAACTATGGGTAACGGGATGACTGTTTACTAAGGTTATCATATTTGCCATTTCATTGATCCCCGTTTCAATAAATTGTCAGCTAAACAGAGAATGAAACAAGCCATGTGTACAAAGTTTTAGAAAGTCTTGTTTTCGTACTTGTTTCTAGTTCACAATGCAGCGATTTATCAGTTACATGTATTCAAGATGAGTTATAGATCACAAAACTTAAAACAATCTCACTGCTTAAATGAATATTCCTCGTTTAAAGTACGAAACTGCACCAAGATGATTTAAGCGAATTGAATTACTTTTCGGATGTTTTCGGCGGAAATTCCTCATATCTCGGTAGGGGTGTTACACTAGCTGAATTTAGGCGAATTTTCGAAGCGTCTATTGTTTAAACAATATCGAAAAATCGCAATGACGACAAACCGCGAGCACTGAAATCCAGAAAGAGATTAGCAATAGGTGGAATTATTGTTCACGGATCGACAGTCAAGAACACAGTTTGATTGGACATTACAACGGATATCTCGTGCCCAGGAGGTTACCATCTTCCACGCATGAGTAGAACCTGGGCTTTAGAATTGAGCTTATAAAAACCCCTTCCTTGTTTATTTGTCGTCATTCACTTCCTGCCTGATTAAAAAGTGTGAGGCGTTGTACGACTGAGCTGAAGTAGACTTTGAAAGGTAAAGGCAGTTTCATGGGTTCGCTTGTGGGCATAAACTGCGTTGTTTAGCTTCAAAAGAATCCGGATTTGTAAGACTTTCATTTGGTAACAACGAATCACTGTCAAACTGGTCCCGCCAAAACCTTCTGAACGTGTGGTCATGTCTAGACATTTTGAAATTATCAGTATTACTATTATAGATATCACGAAAGTTGAAAAGTAAGGCATAGTTTTGTGGTTAAGTGAGGAATCTCAGCTCAGTAAAATCACATTATGCACGATTGTTCCCAGATCCTCTCTCATTATTTCGGCCTTACTCAACTGAATGTTACAGCCTATTATGAGACAGACTCCGAATTCGCGGCCGTTGCTTGATGACAAAAATGAAATTCGTCTTTTGTAAGTAATCAAAAAGTAGTGCAACTGACATTACGACTAGATTAAGCTAACTAATAATTTGCCCGCGAAATATTAATTCAATTTTCATGATCAAATATACTAAATACTGAAAGTTAAATTCGGCCAAAATGTAATAAACGAGATAAATCTTCAGAGAATCGTGGACTGTTTAGAGTATCTATTTCAAGAAGATTTTTAGTGTCTGAATAATTTATCAAAAATCAGCGTCTCTGGAATATGTGGTATTATTAAATTGTTTTCGGCCCACTCTTATATCCTATCTTAAAGCTGAACCTTCACCGGAGAATAACGAGTTACCCTTCTGACCTTTCTTTGGCGGTAGAAATCAATGAACACAGCTACAACTAGTATCAGTGCTACAAGCAGCACAGTGGCACCTACAACCATCATCAGAAACACGCGCCTACTTCCTTGTGAAAAATGTTCCACTGTTGTGCTCTCAGCCTCGTCATTTTTCTCTGTATCGCCGTAAATCTTCGTAAGAGCTTTTTCCACGACCTCAGCGTATTCCTTGCTAAGGTACGTCTGCGCAAATTCTACCATAACCTTCCGAAGTTTTAAGCACTGCGAAAGGTCCTGTCGCGAGCATTGCAGGAGCTCCTGGCATAGCTGAGGAAGCCGGTCGACCCAGTGCGGTACAGGCGCTGTCTCGTTGTCGTGGTACACATTCAGGTTAAACCAGAAATTTCCAGTGAGGCCGATTAGGCGGCGTATCGAGCTGATCAACTGAAGATACTGTTTCCAACTCAACTGGAATGGACAGAATGCTGTACTTAAGGGCGTGAACGTTTTTCCGGCTGAGTTTACCAAAGCATCACACTCCGTCGCTAGTGTGAACACAGAACCTGTACGTAACGTTCCATATGCGCCATACGGGTGGACTGTATGCTCTACGACCATCTGACCTGCAGTGAACCCGTCATACGTGGTCTGTGTCTGACCATGTGCCACTGGAAATAGGGCCAATACCTTGCACCACGCAGGGTTCTTATCTATCCCGGTGATGCCGCGTATCACGTCACCGACAGCCAACTGCGATACACGGATAAAGCGTTTAGTCTGTTCCTCGACGCGCATCAGGCCAGAGACTCCGTTAGCACGCGATGTTAAGTTCTCTGTCTTATCATCACCTTTTCTGAGGGCCTCAGCATTTTTCATTTGGTGGATCACGACCAGGAACAGCACAAAATATTTCATGCTGATGTCAACACCGAACTGTAAAGAAAATATTTTAGAAAGAAACAGGAAGTGGTCACGTTTTCCACCTGAAGGAAATGATTTTTAACAATTCGGTTGATAGCCTTAATAAAACACGGTTTGGTCGCTAGGTCAGCTAAATCATGCCACTATAATTCTGAGCATAATGCTATAATTAAGGCATCGAGGATAATGACGCCATAATGACAAAATTTTTTTGAAATCTCCTTGATGCTACAGTTTAACAAGAGATAAATCCTGTTGAGCCTGCTTTGCTGGCTTGCGTTTTAAGAATTTAATCCAATAAAATATTGAGTTTTGAACTTCGATAAGACCCTTGATTTTCTCAGCAAGTTTCACCTGTTAGTGGTAGGAATAGAAATGGTGGGGATGGAGGTTGAAGAGCTCTTAAAAGCTATTATTTTGAATGATTAAACTTCACTATATTTTTTGGCATCATGAAATGTTTTCAGGGTGATGCTCCAAAGTAATATGTTCAAATTCTCGAGTATAATTCTTTTGACCCAAGTGCTCGCATAACAGGGCCGCCTTGACAATAATTCGATCATTAGACGTAGAAATTTTCTGATAAGAGCTCTTTTTTACTGTTCTTTGACAACTGAATAAACGTTCATTACTGGTTAAATCCAATGTACTATCGCCTGTCTGAACATGGTCTAATCCCCATGCATTCTAACCATACTATGTGACGCCTGAATAATGATGGACGATACAAGAACGATGTTGGGTGACGTTTTCAATAGCATGATGAGTGTACGTGCTGCATGAATGTGACATAAATATTTGTACCTTTGGTGTTAGTCCATCATTCTAAGGACTAGATGAACGGACAGTGGAGTTTCATTGTTCACAGTGCTATATAACAGCTTATGTCCGAATTAAAATTGTAAACTTCTCATGTCAGAAAAGTTGTGAGAATGCATCAAACAGACGATAGTTCGAATGATCACTACTTATACAGAGCGTGACATAATGAGAGATTTTGAGATCACGGAGATTAATTTACAGACAATTCGATGAGCTTCTAAGTTCCGCTTCAGCAAAAAGGCAACTCGTGTATTTTCCCTGCGATAAGGAAGTGGCACTTGTCCTAATAAAACTCACTTCCCAGAATTCAAGCATTTCTTCATCTCAGTTACATTTGTCGAGCGATCGCAAAAAAAATATTCAAAGCAAACTACAAGTTTCTCCACCTAGGACTGACATTGCCGAGGGAATTTCTACCTATGCTGACTACTGCACTAAACATTTTTCAATCATTTTTCGCCTATGATTTAATTTTTTTGTTGTTATAGTTGCTGTTTTTGTCACAAAGGTAGTCCAACGAAAAAGAGCATCGGGCTTCAATTTGAAATAAATGAATGTAAATTCTTCTTTCACAATTCGGGAAATTTGATTAATTGTAATTAATTGGTATGATGAGGACAGAAAACTGTTGGCCTTAAATTTTACCTGATCTCAGCGCACGGACCTTGAAAAAGGTTTCAAAATGCACCTATTGAAATCTCTTTCCGAAAAAGGGTCGATAAAAGTAATATACTTATACGATCCTAACTTGCCATCGCAAGCAGACTTCCATAAATAATTCTCTCCAAACTTACCTTATCAAATTAAAGCGCCAAAATGTGTTCCAACTGGCTCGTGTGATTGCCTTTCTGGTAACTGAAAATATAGCATTTCGCAAGACAATTTATATTCCCCATTTCGGTAACCAGATCTCGGCTTCCTTGTTCAGCTGAAACCCAATGTATTTTTGACACTGCCGAGTCAGGTCTCATGTTTCAGCTCCTAGTGATTAGACTGACATTTCACGTACAGGCAAAATAATCTCTTCCCAACATGAAAAATCGAGACGAATTGTTTGATTCTCGTGGGTACCGTTTGCCACCGGCAGCGTGGTCAAATATCTTAATAAAGAGCAGCGAAATCATAATGGAATATTTCCTGCATGCACTGTACGAGCTTCATAAAGCCTTTGTCGTCGGTTGTCGATAGTTCGTGGCATGTCACGTAACGCACTCACCTGCTATTCCTTTTTTAACGGCAAGCGGCGTTGTGTGACATCAACCCTCCTCCCTCCCATCCACGGTAAGTGGAAAAACGGTTACTTAGGATACAACATAAAGTAAAACTGTATAGGTAAAAGAAAATGGGAGCGAAAGGGAAGGTGAGAGGTGTATTCAAATCTATCAAATATTTTCACATCAATTTCGTCATCAAGATGTTTGGGTCTTCCCTCCATCCCTTTAGAAAGCTATCCGTGTCCACTGTAGTCCACTGTTGCTATTAAATGGCTGACAGGTATCAAGGACATTTCCCTCTTCCTTTTTTTTAGATAAAATAAAAAGCGGACCCTCAGCTCCAAAATCAACAGTTGGACACTAAGATCCTTTATCAAAAATCGGGCTCCAGTGTCCGAAATCACAAATTAACTACTAGAGTCAAAATTGAGAAAAGAGGTCGCTGGTGGCCAAGTTGAAATATACGCCACTTTAAGCCAAAAAAGGGAACTAAGATCCAAAATCACAAATCAGCCATTAGAGACCAAAATTACAAATCGTCCACTACGGTCCAAAATCAAAAATCGGCTGCCAGGGTCCAAAATCGCACATGGGTCATTAGGGGCCAAAATCACAAATCGGCTGCTAGGGTCCAAAATCGCACATGGGCCACTAGGGTCCAAAATCACAAATCGGCCACCAAAGTTCAAAATCACAAATCGGCCACCAGGGTCCAAAATCACAAATCGGCTACAAGAGTCCAAAATCACAAATCAGCCTCTAGAGTTCAAATTACAGTTGTTTTTTACTCTTTTTTTTTTTCAATGGGAAACGCATTTCAATACGTCACTCATTTGAAAGTCAATGTAGTGCCTGCCAATTTTTTGGCTCAAACACTACATGAAAGTTTTCCAGCGACGAAATTAGCGGGGAAACAACCACAAGGACTGTTCATGTTGCGAAAGAAATCACCGTCGCCAGACCTATATCGTAAAATATACGTATCTTTATATATTTGGCACAGAAACATTTTTGTAGACAACAGAATTATAACCATGTTCAAGAACTTTTTTTTTCAGTATTTTACTGTTTTAAAGAAAACTACCAGAAACAAAAATAAAAATTAAACAAATTTTTTTGTCGGTCTAAAATGCCAAACTCGCAGTTTCTCATGAAAAAGGTTAGATAGCTGTTGCGCAATGTTTTTTCTTCGATCACTGTAACACAAGCTCCAACAGATGTGAAGCATTCTGTTAACGATGACGATGCATCGCCGAAATGAAAGAGAACATACAGACAATGACGACCAGTAATCAACCTATCAGCGAGTTATACGATCTATTATAATCATTAAAGAGGCGCTGTATGGATGCGTGCGGTTTAAAATAAAATATTCTACCTAATCTCGTCACCAACATAGTTACACGTAAACTTTAACTGGGAAATTCCAATATTGTACTTCAACAAGACAGACTTCTTGACTTTCTTAAGCAGGAATACGATATTACCTATTTGTAATAGGGGTATCAACACACATCTTCGTATTTTCTCCTTTTCAGTGTAGGGAGGGTGTATTTATCTTCATCTTGTATCTATTTATTTCTCTTGTCCTAATTAGTCTTAATTAGTCCGAGTACAGGTGCTGAAGCCCTGTTGACAGGAACTGGTAACCAAATTTAATTTCCTTAGAGTTTAATTTCCAACGTTTTCCTTTTTATCTAGAGGTAACTCATACATGATGAAAATATCAACACGCAATGCATTTATTAAGCACCAACGTTCATTGAAATTATGCTCATAAATAGCAATTAAGGTCTGAAGCACATAAAATATGATAATCAGCTTCTCTTTGGAAACGGTTTGACGTAATTAATTCTTTCCAGTGTTATTGATGTCTCAGTTGCGCAACTTCCTCTATACTTAAATCCCTTCCTTTTCCAAAATAAAACTTATAAAGTGGAGGTACATAGTTTTCTTCTCTAATCTTTAGAACCTGTATAACTTTTGCAAACGGAAATCCTCACATAACGCTTGAAGTTGAAGTTGCTTCTTGTTTTCAAATTGTAACCAATGTGAAACCCGCTAAGCACTCAGAGCCAATACCACTTAATAGTTTTTTTTTTAATCTTAAAAAAAATTGAGGGAAACAATTTCATCTGCAGAGGTTAATAAAGATAACATCACTTCAATGACCACCAGGAAAACGGTCTGCAGTTTCGAGAAATAGAAAAAAATCTGTAAATCGATATGTAAATTCTTTCATCCGGCTTTAACGTTTTTGCAGTATCAAATTTAATATAACCGCCGTGTCATCCCCTTCTGTTTGTCCAATACTGCTCCATTAAAAATTTAAACTTTGATATTTTGTCGCAAAACACACTGGGGTAAACAGCCGTATTCTAAACGGAAAGTTGATGTCACTCTTTCATCCACCATCTCGCTCGTAAAGAAACAAAGAAAACAGACAAGTTAGCGATGAAATGGTCAGAATTGTTACACTTTTCAATTCTGGTTGCTATTTGCAGCGGTAAAGAGAAAGGTGAGTATTAAAGTCACGTGGCGTAATTTATGACTGTAAATATATGAACATCATTTATCTGAACAGCGGATAAAAAAATGAGTATGAAAGCGATCTTCGTAGTAATGAAAACTTCTTAGGCAATTGTGAAAAATAAGGCCTGAAAAAAATTCAGACCTGTACGGGAAGTAGTCCGTGTAACCGTGTTCATTGGCGTAAATTTCGTTAAATCAATTTTTCAAACACTTTAACAATTTATTTTTAATACCCACTCACGTTAGTACTGGCTTCAATAGGGTAACTTCTGCGATTTAATTTGGCTAGATTAAAAACCATCTATCAAAATCGCTAAGAACATAGTTTCTATCGTTCACCTTGTTGCATTGCTACAACGATTTTTTTCTGAACAAGTGTTCATCCATTATCATAATATCAAGACGAAAGTGATGGTTAAACTTTATGGAAATTAATTTTTTAAGTCTCAATTATTCTTAGATAAGAAGAAAGTTTCATAAAACGAACGATTTTGAAGCGTGCTTGCTAGAAACAGGTTCGGCTAGGAATAGGTTGCTCTTCTAGAT